CGTTTCTGGGCAAGGTGTTGGAGCGGGTGGTGGCGGGACAACTCCAAGCACTCTTGGATGAAACTGATTATCTGGACCCATTTCAGTCCGGCTTCAGACCCGGGTACGGTACTGAATCTGCCTTGGTCGCCCTGTACAATGACCTGTGCAGGGAGAAGGACAGGGGGAGTGCATCCCTGTTGGTTCTTCTGGATCTCTCAGCGGCTTTCGATACCATCGACCATGGTATCCTTCTGGATAGGCTAGCGGGATTGGGTGCCGGAGGCACTGCTTTGCAGTGGTTCCACTCCTATCTCAATGCCCGATTTCAGAAGGTGGTGCTGGGGGACTATGGCTCTGCACCATGGCAGCTATGCCATGGAGTACCGCAGGGGTCCATTTTGTCCCCTTTGCTGTTTAACGTCTACATGAAACCGCTGGGAGAGGTCATCAGGAGGTGTGGGCTGCGGAATCATCAGTATGCTGATGATACCCCGCTCAACCTCTCATTTTCCACCAATCCAGGTGAGGCAGTGGCTGTGCTGAACCGGTGCCTGGCCGAGGTAATGGGCTGGATGAGGGCCAATAAACTGAAGCTCAATCCAGACAACACGGAGGCCCTGTTGGTTGGTGGATCGGGCTTCGGAGAGGGTGAATTGAACCTAGTCCTGAATGGGGTTGCACTCCCTCTTAGGGACAAGGTTCGCAGCTTGGGAGTGCTCCTCGACCCAGAGCTTTCACTGGAAGCTCAGGTGACAGCTGTGGCGAGGAGCACTTTCTTTCAGCTTCAACTGATCCATCAGCTGCGCCCCTACCTGGAGAATGACTGCCTGGCGACAGTGACACACGCATTGGTGACTTCCCGACTTGACTTCTGTAACGCGCTCTATGTGGGGCTACCCTTGAAGATGGTCCAGATACTTCAGTTGGTTCAAAATAGAGCTGCCAGGCTGCTGATGGGGACTGGGCGTTATGTTCACATGACTCCAGTCCTCCATCAGCTTCACTGGCTTCCTGTTGAAGTCCAGGCCCAATTCAAGGTGTTGGTGATGACCTATAAGGCCCTAAACAGCTTGGGTCCTGGTTACCTGAAGGAGCGCTTACGTCCATATATGCCCACCTGCCCCTTGAGATCTGCAGGAGAGGCCCTTCTCCAGGAACCCTCCGTGAAGGAAATTAGGAGGGTGAGTACTCGGAGGAGGGCTTTCTCTGCGGTGGCGCCCACTCTATGGAATGCGCTCCCCAGAGAGGTCCGCCTGGCGCCGTCGTTGTTTGTTTTTCGGCGCCAGGCAAAGACCATTTTATTAAAATGTCATTTTAACTGTTAATAGTATTTATTTATTTTATTCTTTGGCCAGGATGACTTAATTTATACTGTTAAGTTATATTATTTTAACAAAGTTATTTATGTTTGTGAGCTGCCCTGAGGCTTCGGCAAATGGGGCGGCATAGAAATTCTCTAAATAAATAAAATTAATAAATGTGTACAGGAGTACAGTGGTGGCTGGAGGAGTTTTTCTTACAGTCCCTGGTCTGTGAATGAGTTCTGTTCCTGAGAAAACAAATTCATCTTTAGGTCATTTTTTATGTAAGTTGGATATCCACCTTTTCAAGGGTTAGAGGCACAGGACCTCCATGAAGGTGGAAAACTGGAAAAATCTCTATCTATCTTTCTATCTATCTATCTATCTATCTATCTATCTATCTATCTATCTATCTATTTATTTATTTAAACATTTTTATGCCGCCCCATTCGCCGAAGCCTCAGGGCAGCTTACAACAAATAAGTTAAATAACATTTTAAAATATATACATTAAAATAAATTACAAATATACAATATAAAATAAGCCGCCCTGGCCAGAAAAATTCAATAATATTAACATTTAAAATGCTGCTTGAATAAAAGGTCTTCGCCTGGCGCCGAAAAACAAATAACGGCGCCAGGCGGACCTCTCTGGGGAGTGCATTCCATAACTTAGGTGCCACCGCTGAGAAAGCCCTCCTCCAAGTAGCCACCCTCCTAATTTCTTTCACAGAGGGCTCCCGGAGAAGGGCCTCTCCCGCCGATCTCAGGGGGCGGCTGGGCATATATGGATGTAAGCGCTCCTTCAGGTAACTCTAGTTCCCCATTCCACACAAACTCACCAGCCCCTCCTCTTTGCACCAAGGAAATGTTGGCAGTATTTCCCTCTCCATTAGACCAAGAAGACCTGCTTTAGAGGCCTCCCTCTCTCCCCTTTTGCTTCCTTTCTATGGGGATGATAATTTCCTGCAGTAATTTTTTTAAATGAATAGGCTTTATGGTCATTCATTCATAAGTATGGGTTTTTGTAACTCAGACATTCATAACTAGAAGACTGCCTCTGTCTGTCGTCATCATCACCAGCTGGAAACTAGGCCCTCTTTGTGCGTTGTTCTTGTGCTGGGGTTCCTATTCAGCAAGCTTCCAGCAGCATCGTTCAAGTGATCCATCAAGGAACTTTCCTTGCCAGATTGTGGCTGGCAGGGCCAAGCATAGCTGGTAACATGGCCTGGATTTGCACAACACACTAAGACACTGAGGAGGCAGTGTAGTCGGTCATGTGAACCCCTCTTCCCTTGTTTAGGAAACCCTCTGCAGCTTGGAATGTTGTACAAATCTGGGAGACTCACAAAGTGAAGCCCAAAAATAGAAGAGTCCCCTTGGAAAGAACAGCAAAGAATAGCTCTCACTCTGGCCAAGGGATTCTGGATGCCCTGCACTGCCTCCTTCACAAGCCCCGTTCAGGGCTCAAGACCCAGGAGGTGTCCAGTAGAGGAAGGGCCTGTTTGGTTTTGCGTCCCCGGAGCAGACTTTTCCCACTGTGCCAACTCAACTAACAAAGTTCTCACTAGCAGGTCATTCTGCCTCTCCATGCTGGGTCTTGTGGGACAGAATTGCCCCCTCCACAACCCAGCTAGCAAGAACTTCAGGAATCAGGATGTGGAGTGGGGGGCAGCTGAGTGGCGGGAAGGCAGATCCAGGCAGCCTCCTGCCACCCAGCAGGGCAGCTCTGCCCTTCCACTGCTTCACTGGGCGTGCTCTTCGCAGCTCCCGCAAGCCCTTGCTAGTTGGGATAGAGGAGGTAAATTTGCCTGTTACACCACTCACCGCAAGCCAGTGCTGAGCAGCAAGTGCTCTGCCTCCGTTCTGAGCAAGCCAGGTGGCTTAAAGTACTACACAAATCCCCCACTGAGTGGCCTGACCTAAGAATAAATACTATTGGATTCAATGGGGATTGCCTCTTAAGAAAGCCTCCTAGGAAGGCCTGGGCAGTTACATATAGGCACCCTATAAATATGTGTATAAATAAATACGTAAGAAACATAAAGAGGGTTTGTACTGTATGCCTTCAGAAGGACCCTAAAGATTCATGCAGCCACCTTGAACCAGGACTGGATTTATCCCTGTGCATAATCTCCATTGCTGTTGCATTGCAACAAGCTAAGAAAAGATCTCGGGTGACCCAAGGCACGTGGCGCTCACTGCAGCATTTCTGTTCTGGCTTGATTTCACCCTGAGCAACTGTAGCTCTTGGCTTGCTTATTTATCATCTCCTTGCTAGAGCTGCTTTTACAAACCAATCCTGTCTGCTCAAAAGTGCACAAAAAGCTTCTGCTCAAAAGTAAGTCCTTTTGGCTTCAGTTGGGCAGACTCCCAGGTAAATAGGCATAGTTAAGCAGTTGCTACTTTCTGGTTTTTGCCTTTGGAAGTCTGCTTTCTGCGGAGGAAACAGACTGGAAGAATAAAATGATCTGCATATAACCAGAAAAGTAAAGTTGTTTAGCATGCACAGTCTCTCACTAACAGAAATCAAAAGGTGGTTTGACTTGGCATGGAAGAACTGTCACAACTTGGAGATCAATCAAACTCCCTTTTGGTGGTAATGCCTAGATTCTACAACTCCCTTCCAAGTGTGTCAGCTCCCCTTAAGGATTTTCCAGAATCTAGTTAAGACCTGCTTTAAGAGAGGCATCATTTTAACTTGCTGCTTTAATTGGCCTCCGGTTCTTTTTATATATTTTAGCTATTGGAGTTGCCATTGAGTTGTGTTCTGCTGCTCTTTTTGTGCGTTATATGCATTTTAATTGAAAAGATTGTTTTAACTGTGACATGACTGACTTGTTGCAAGCCACCTGGAACTCTTTAGAGACTGGGTGGGGTGTGAATGTTTTAAAACGATTACAAATAAATAGAAGTAAACTCTCAAAAAGCTGCCACAACTAATTGTAGCTCTGGAATATATATACTGGTATATAACAGCTGGCTGAGTTTGCAGTCACCTCTGTGGCATTCACACTACATCTATCCAAACATCTTAAAAACATCTTACCGTGTGTGGCCAGAAGTTTGATGCAGGGCTTTGTAGTTTTTCCACAGTTTTTGCACACTACTTTCTGCAAGGATGCACTGAAAACTCTGTTTGTGCTTCCATATTTCTTTGACCCTCAGCTCTGTGGAAGTTCAGAATGATCCTTGTAGTCCAAGACGGGAAGTTTCCTCTGACCGTGTCAGACCCTAGAAATCCTGTGGAAAGCCAAAGGTTCTCTATCCTCTAAATCTTTACCTGTAGACACAACTGATATAGGAGAACTGGCAAATCCTCATGCTTCAGGGGAGAAGGCAGGCTGGCTTCTCCATATCCTTTTTCTAAAATGCTTCCTTCTTCATAGCCATTATTAATCAACCCTTTCAAGCAGGTTGTTCATATGACTCAAAACTAATGGCCAACACAGACTTTTCAGCTGACAGATAGTTGCAATATGCAGCCCTGTAGAACTGAATGTTCTAACTCAAGATAAGACAGCAGCTTGCCAGTGTAAATTGAAGCACTCCTCGTCTTCCTGGTGGTTGTTAAATGGGCATAATTATTTGCTTTCATTAGAAATATCAGTGGGTTCTAGCATTTCACTGTGTTCACTGTGTTCACTACTTGATGACGTAGACAATGGGTCCTGTATAGGTTTACAGAATTTTAATTTTTTTCTGTTTTGTTTTCAGTGCCTTGCTACCTGGGAGTCCTTCTTGACATCTCAAACAACAAAAGACATTTGCTTGGAAGAAGAATCAGAAGATCAAACCTCCTCCTAATGGGGATCTGTTAATCTTCCTCTGAAATGTCGCTAGCCAAAGAAGTGCTGTGTATAGAAGATCACATCCTTTTATTCCATAGAACCATTATGTTTCAAAAATAGGTGGAAAGCAAACTTATTAAGTCTCAGGTATTCTACTGTCCTGGATGTATTTGAATAACGGTGTGTGCATGCATGTGTGCGTGCGCACACACACTCACACATGCATACACATACACACAAGGAGGTAGACCCAATTTGGATGTGACAGTAAACACTGGTTTAGCATTATAATGATGAGCCTGGGTGATAGGCTCATACACTCCCACCTCTTTCATCCTCCTATGTAGCCATCAGGAGGAGGTCAAAAGCATCCACTTCAATTGCAGATTAACCACAAACTGAATCCTAAATTGTGTGATCCCTATGTTAGGTTTAATCTTAACTATGGTTTGTTGAAACAAACTAGCTTTTTAGATGTTAGGTTGTTTCAACAAATCATGGTTGAGGTAAACCACAGTTTGCCAGGTTTGAAGAACATAGTGAGCTGAAATTAGTTTTTAAAAATCAGAAGTGGAAAGCTTCCAGATTTCTCATGCATACCAAAGGAAAGCAGAGGAGGAAGCACGTGCAAACCCAAAGGCTTGCCTATGCTTATTTTGATAGTGCTAAACTATAGCTTAGAGAGTGTCTGAACTCAGCCACAAACACAAAGAGAGGGATAAATCTGGTTCCCAACACTTTTTTGAATATATGTAGAATTTTTTTAAAAGTCTGTAATTTGGATATAAAATATTTTAAATATGTAAAATTAGTTCCATTTTAATAATAAAAGTTTAAGAGGAATTCTTTAAATCTCGCCTTTCTCTTTATGCTTATTGGTGCATTGATGATTTATAGCACCTTCTAAAAATTTTCAACAGAGAACTTTTCAAGTGAAATAATCCACTCTACATTCAGGAATGGGGTCAAGTTGCATCATTTCAATTCACTTTTTAAATTGTTGTTTAATTGTTTCTAATAACATTAACATTGTTATTAAAAACATATTAACAATAACGTTGAATATTTTTAATAGCAAGAACAATTTCAATGTTTCTGCTATGTCTTTAAAATAATTTTGTTTTCTGAATTTTTGTAAACTGGTGTGGCTTTTTCTAGAAAGGCAGTATTCTAATGGGAGGAGAAATTGTAAGCTGCTTTGCACGACTTGGAATCGCAGATTTGATACCCTGAACCCTTCACAGAGCTGTGGAGAGTCAGCCACATTGTACCACCCCTTTTGAGTGAAGCCAGAGCCACTGATCCCCCAGGCAGCTTGCCCTGGTGCACCACTTGAGTCCCCAGTGGAGGGAGGACTCCTTGCCACCTCCATTACGGTGAGATTTGGGGATTGCCCCACAATGGGAAGAGGAGCCATTCAGCCCTCTGTTTCAAATTACCTTCCCACCCAGGATTCCAGCTGTACTGATATCTATGTGCTGAATAGGGAAATTTGCCCCGTCTGTCTATTGTTGGGCTTACTATCTGCTGAATCACCCAGAGGTCTTCTAAGTGGATTACAAAGTTGTTACTGAAGGCTTCAACCACACTGGTACATTTAAATTAATTAAAATAAACTGAGTAACTTGGAAGATGTGAGCCATTAAGATCCCCTTGACATGCATGCCAGGTTTCAGATGTCTCGGTTCCATAGACATGGACAGACACACAAGTACATACCTCCTATTGCTACTACTAATACTACTCAGATGTGCACCAGCACACAGCATGTTCTCAAAGCCATATCCTGCTACCTTTGCAAGCAATGTTATTTATTATTTGAAATGGGCGCTGTAAATTGTAAATGGTTTATTAGTAGAGTGAAGGCACAATCTTATCCATTGTTAAACAACCCCCGCCCCCACAAATCTTAGAATTACCCCAGCCAGCATGGTGACAGCCTAAGTGATTAAGCTATTATGAAAGGGCATTAATACATTTTAATTGGGGACCTGCAAGTTGGAAGCACACTTTGTGTGTGGGGGAGGGGGGAGCAGCTTTAGTCCTGGTACATTTTTCATTTTTTTAGCAATAGGTGGTAGCTTCAGTAATTAAATGTTAAGACTTCTTACATTCTATTTATTACCCCAAAAAAGTGCCTATGCTGAGGTTTTAGTAACGTCCCAAAATTGTGCCCAAATTTGGTCAATTACTATTCAGCCTTTTAACTATCAGAGCAATCTCGCCATGAGATTGCAGCGAGGGAGAGCCAAAGACTGAGGATCTGCCATATCTAAAGGTGTGCCAGGCATACACACTGGCATGATGGAAAGGAGGAAGGAGTGGCATTTTACCTGCAGGTGTTTTTCTGACCATCTTCCCATTGTTCCTTTCAAATCCCATAGCACTGATTCCAATGGGAGAATCAAACACTACGACTGGTGTGAATTTTCTGCTTCTCTGGTGGAATGGGAAGGTATTGGATTGTGTGAATCTAAGCTTTCTCCTAAACATTCCTTGACATACACATGGAACACCCTCTTCTTGTCTTTACTGAAATTGGAGATCAGATGCCAGTAAGACGATCTACCATGGTGTCTGGGAAAGAGTTTCTGAGGTCAGCTCTCCCATTCTGATGATGGAGCTTTCTCTCTCGCTGCTAAGAGGAAACCCTAAGGCAGGACAAAAAGGGTACATTTCTCCAAGTAGTTATATATACTTTATGACAGAGGTCTCCAGCACAACACCTGCCTGCTGGTGTTGTGGCACTTGGGAAGCAGTCTCCAACCTGATGCCAGTGGGAATCTGCTTTAAATGTACGTACATGAATTTGTAAGAAATGCATGCAACTTTCTAGCAGTTATATATAGGATTCAACATACATATCCAAGTAAGTTTTTATTTGAAGTTGGCATCTTCATGCCAGCTGTTCATTTATCAAAACCATTGTAAGTTTCTCAATTTCTTGCACCATAGAGATTGAGCAATCCTTCCAATTTTGTATTATCACTCTTTTTAGCTGTCAAAAGGGCACAGAGATTCCATTTCTCCTTCAATTTGTTACATTAATGAAACAGGTAGATTATTTAAACTAGCATATGTCAGTGAATAGTAGAGGCTGCTCCAGTACAAAATTTATCTGTGTAATAAACTCCTCCCAAAAAAGAAGCAACTGCTGAATATTGATAAAACCTATGTTTAAAAGAAGTATGAGCTGGATCACAGCATAGGCAAATAGCTAAGATATGTATTAATGAGACCTTGTGATGTCCAGCATGTACAAAATGTTTTTGCTGAACAAGATTTAGCTTAAGATCCATAGATGTAATAGGTAGCTGCCGAAGTGGAGATCCACTGATTAGATCATTAGGCATTTTGTGATGGTGCCCAGAGCAGTTCTGACCATTCCCAAATGCGTCCCTGGATCCAAAAAAAGGGGGTCATGACCCCATTAACTAAAGCTCTAATTCTACTTCCAGAAAATCTGCAAGTTCTTCCTTCTTCTGTTTTTAGGGTAAAGAAGGGCAAAATATCTTTTTCAGGGGGTCCTGTTGCTTAAAATAGATGTAGGCTTAAAACCGAAAAGTAAGCATGCAGGTGTGTTGATGCTGTCAAGTTCCAGGTTGCTGTGCTTACTCTTCTCCTTCACTGGAATAAACCAGGGCTACATTTCTTTGAAAAATGTGTGCCTTGTAATATTTTTCTAATTCCAATCTCCACTTTCATTATTCAACAAAGGAGCAAACAAGGGAAGAAAGAATCTCATCAGCGATGCACAAACATGGGAGTTCTTTTACATCACAACACTGCCCATTCTATAACCTTCATCTCTAATACAGCCTCATAAATTATTCCAGCCAGTTCTTGTTCTCATGATTCATTTATAGTACTATACAGAATAGAGGGGGGATCGTTCTCAAACTGCCTCTAATATATATGAGTGTGTGTGATTTTTTAATATGTGGTAGTCTACTTTATGGCTTTTCTAGAGTCATGCTTCTGACAATTTATTGCCCCTTTAGCCCATTTTCTGGAGATTTATTTCTTTAAGTAAATATTCTTGTGTACCAACATTTGTTTTTCCTTGAGGCCGCAGCTCACACATTTCAAGTGCTCTGCTAACACCCCAGCCCCTGATGGATTTTCATGGAAATGTGCTTATGTGCTGCTCTTGGTTAGCCTTCTTCAGGCTAACGCTAAATGGTTTTTAAAATAATTCCGAGGCAGAAGCAAGCTAAGAGAACTCTCCTGCCAGTTAAAGAACCCTCTGCAGGGAGGTCCTGGAGAACCTCCAACTGATGGGTTCCTGTCAGCAAAGCAGAAGTCACAATAAAGCCAGTTTTTCCCCTTCGGTGTGAATTTTTTCTTTATAAGCAAAAGCTGGTCGAAACATTCCTCTGTGATGGGGAGCAGGATCAGAACCCAGAAGGGCAGAGAGTCTAACCATCTCCCACCCACGGGGGCATAGTCTGACACACCTTTTGTCCTCCATTGACAAGGTTGGAATTCCAGTCTTGGGAAGGAAGGTTCCAAAGGTTTCTGTGGAGGCTGGGAGGGCAGGTCCTTGCTCAGATTTTATTCTCCAGTCAGAGCTCTCTCTGTACCCTTCGAGAGGAGTATCCACTCAGTCCTGGGACACTGTTCTTAAGCCCATAGTATTGCTCTCTTGCAGGCCCCAAAGGAGAGATTTTTCTTGATGTGCTAGGTACACTCCTCTGTGGCAAGCATTGTATGTGAACTCCACAGCTTGTTTCTGAAACACAAGAAGCAGGCAGTTTTATGGAGCAATTTAATCATTTTAAGTATTTTGTTTCCTGCAACCCATGATTTTAATAGTGCACCCCAGATGAGACTTTTACTCTGCAGTTCACAGAACTTTACAAAGGTCCAAACAATATTGTCTTTTGGCTTTCCACCATAACAAAATCATTAGGAGGAAAAGAAGGAAAACCTTTGTAAGGCCTTTTGAGCAGTAGCTCCAAGCACCCTCTGGCTGTTCCAGCCTTGAGCCACCCATGGGTCATCACTGACAATTGTCCATGCTGGTAAGGGCTGATGGGAGTTGTAGTACAAAGCATCAAGCTGGCAATGGGGAAGGCTGCTCCAGCAGTACTTTAAAACAAATGTGTGTTATTGTACAGCGGGTAATTAGTGAGAAGGTCTGGATCTGCCCCATAGGCGGAGAGATAAATGCAGCCTGCATCCCCGTGAGCAATGTGTTGAGTTGCTATTTACTCTCAAGCAGAAAAAACATAAATCAATGTGTTTCTGAAACTCCAGCAGCTGGGTTGCCACCTTGGACTACGACTTTTCTAGCAATAAAAAGAATGCCTGCTTATTTTGTCTGCAACCATCTGCATAGTTCTGCCATACATCTCGCCATATAAATAGCTTCTATACCATTCCCTGAACTAGCTGGGTCGCTTGCTCACTATATTATCTGGCAAACAGCCGACTGAGGCAGACTCTTGGTTTGCTTGCTTTTAACTGGGATGCCTCACGGAACCTGCTGATGAGCAAACTGGTGAGCTGTAGCTTCACTGTTCTGCTTGTGAGAGTTGCTTGCTGCAGAGGAATTCCATTGCTAAATCTCCTTGATGCAGGGTTTATTTTTCCATGGAATTTTGAAACCTCTGACCAGATTGAATATCAGGTAGGAGACGGTGGGAGAGTGTGCTCTGTGATGTGATCCAGCTGCACGAGACCTTTGCAGAGCCTGCTGGCTACAAGGCAGAAAACTGCCCTGAGACAATGTAAAGGGTGGGATATAAAATAAATAAACAAACAAGTAAACAAATCTGAGCCACCTGCAAAATGCAGGCGGGGCCATCCTCACAGAATCATCTGGAGGAACCCAAAGTATT